AGAGGGGATTAGGTTTTTATCATATATGACATCTTGCAGCTGCAGAAATACTCCTATAAAACATGAGCTTAGCGTTTGCTAAAGAAACAAAGGCATTTGACATTTTAAGTATAAAACAAGCACTCTTCTATTAAAGCATGTGGTCATATTGGGTTAGATAACTATGACATCTACAAGAAAAATAGTCCCCCCCACGAAACTCAGAAATTTAAGCTCTAAGATGGTACCTGAATACAAAGTGGTGTCTGAAAAGTTCTTGCTTTTATTGTCAATTTTTATTCATCACACTCTGAAAGTCTCTCATGTATTTATGACTAGGTTGAGAGTAGGAACCTCTTCAAAAAATTCTATACCTCTATGGTGATCATCAATAATTAGGATTTAACTCTTGCCATAGAATCATAAAAGAAAATTCTACTGATGGGTAGCACAGCTGACTAAAAGAAGTGCTGAGTATATTTTGACTGTTAGGTATGGCCCAGTATCCAAAGGGGAAGAGCGACACATGTAGCTGGGAGGCAATGATATGAATGAGAACAGAGTGCTTATCCTAGAGAAAATTTTCCGCCCCAAGTCAAGTCTCTAATATTTCCACTTGGCTTGTAGCAATTGAGAGGCAAACCGACTGGTTGACATGATCATGGATAATTCAAATACCACAATTGCAGTTAGTTTACTAACTTACTGTGATAAAAAAGAAAAAAAAAATCTTGGTCATTGAACACTATCAGACATGAGCATCAATGAGGCAGAATAGTAGATGCAGGAACAACCCTAGATACATTCAGCCATTTGATCTTTGGCAAAGGAGACCAAAGCCCACAAGACTGAATATATACTCTTTGATAAACAGTTTGGGGAAATCTGACTTTCCACATGCAGAATATTGGATCAAGAGCCATATTTCTCATTATATGGTAGAATAAAATCAAAATTAGTCAATGACTAAATGTTAAAATAGAAATATTTAACTTATTGAAAGACAAAAACATAAAAACTCTTGAAGTTATAGGCAAAGGCAAGGACTTCCTGAAACAAAAGGAATAGTTGCCCCCAAAATAGAACTGATTGCCAATGAATGAAATCATATCCCACTAACACCTTCTGATGGCAAAAGAAATATGAAAAATGAAAAGCATACAGAATGGTGTATTGTTTGTACAACTATTCCTCATATCTATAGTATATAAAGAAGCAAGATATCTTATATTGCCTTCATACAGAAAATAAGAGATCTAATAAAAAAAACTAGGGAAGTAAAATGAATAGACACTGTCGTGAATAGAACTACAATGGGTGATGAATATATTGAAGAAATTCTCACTATCAATGACATTTCAAGAAATGCAAGTTAAAACACAAATGAAATTCTGTCTCACCCCAGAAAAAAATGGCCATCATCAAGAAATAAATATCAAATACTGATGAGGCTGTGGATAAAAAGGAAAATTTTTACACTGTTGGTGGGAATGTATACTAGTACAACTACAATGAAAATCAGTATGGAGACTTCTCATAAAACTGAAACTACTAATTCCACTTGATGCAGCTATTGCCTTTCTTACCAAAAGAGATAGAAGCATCATATTATAGTAATACCTGCATACCCATGTTTACAGAAGCACCATCCATAATAATCTTGGAAGCAGCCTCTATGTCCAACAGTATGCGAATGGATAAATAAATTGTGAAATCTGTAAACAGTGGAGTACTATTTCATCATACACCTTGAAACCGTTGAGTCATGTGCAAAAACAAATACACCTCATGAATGTTTCACTAGACAGATGGACATGTCACAAGCACTACAAATGTATATGTGTTTCCAAGATTGGCTTACTGCTGCGTCACACACAGCTCTCCTTGATCCCAGGGAAACAGAGGAAAGGAAAACCACCATGGGAGTGTTTATCTATACATTTGATAAAGTTGGTATTGTGCAAATAGAGTTGTCCAGCGACTAATGACTTAAGTTGTTTCACAAAAGGTGTTTTGCACACAAAATAAACACATTTGGAACCCAGAGACTGAACAGGAAGAAAGTTCCAAATGATCTGCCAAAGAAAATACTGAAAAAAGGAGAAATATTTTTAAATTAGACAGGAAGTCTATTATGAAATGGAAAAACAATAGAGGATGCCCCCCTTATTGTCAAATATTCATACAACAAAGAAATAACAGAACTTGAAAGAACAAACAAAACTAAAAGTTCCAATAGCAGTCAATAATTATAATAATTAAATCAGGGTGGGCCACATAGCTCAGCAAACTAAAGTGCCCCAGGCCAGGATTCCAACGTTGGTGTGCAATGCCTGCCCCATCCTCAGGGTGCTCTGAGAAAGCAACTGAGAATGTTTCATAAAATGAGACATTTGTAGGTGAATAATGTCTTTTTTTCAGCATTTTCTTTGGCAGATCATTTGGCACTTTCTTCCTGTTCAGTTTCAGTGTCCCAAATGTGTTTATTTTGTGTGCAAAACACCTTTCATGAGACAACTTCAGTCATTAGTCGCTAGTGCCGTGCACCTATAATTCCAGTGGTTGGGAGGTTGAAAACAGGAGGATCACTACAAGACTGATCTGTGTAATGAGACTCTGTACAACTTGTACTAAATATATAGAAAAAGAGAAAGAAATCAACCAATAAAAAGTGTTGGAGTGGTTTGGGAAAATGAACCATTTTGCCTGGTGGTAGAAGAAAAGACCAGTCCAACCACTGTGGCAATCAGTGTGGAGCTTTTTCGAAAAAAAACTAGAATTAAGAGTTTCCATTTAATGCTGATTCCCTAAAGAATTAAAAGCATCAAACCACCATGTTTATAGTGCCACATTTTGTGATATCTAAATCTAGGAGACAGCCCAAATGTCCATCAGCTAATGAATGGATACAGAATATGTGGGGATATTTACACAATGGGGTACTATTCTGCCATAAGAAAGGATAAGGTTGAGACATTCCTAGGTGATCAATGCACCTTAAGATCGTACTTTTAAGTGAAGTAAGTTGGAAACATGTGTGCAAAATCTATCTTGTTTCTCTGGTGCGAGACATCAAAAGTGTACTTAAGAACTTAAATATACAATAGATGCTGTGAAATCAAAAGAAAGTATTCATACAGGAGGCAAATTGGGGAGGATGGACAGGCAACATACGAACAGAAAAGAATAAATGATGATGAAAGAAGAAAAAATGGAAATAAAATTTTGTGAATAAAGAGGGAAAAAGGGATCTAAGAAAGGCAGAGACATGGGGGAGAATCAAGTTGTAGCATGTACAGGGGCAAATTTCATATAACGAGTGAGAACATTGTGTGTAAATATAACGTGCCATTAACAATTTTATTGTTTCAATGAGAAGAAAGATTTGAACTAATAGTAATTGGGCAGAATATCATGTCTGCATCTTGTACTATGAATAACCACTAAGAAGATAACAATATGCAATGTATTAATTATTAAAATGGTCCTATTAACCTGTTTTGAAACTGTCAAAAAAAGAGAAACAATCAACCTAAATCCCTTCTTAATAACTCACTTTCACAAGTACAAAAGGGATTTCTCTTTTTTCTTTCTGACACTTATTGCAAGAGAGATCTCTGCTAATTGATGACCTATAGGAAAAGTTCTACTAGTCTGCTTATAGCTACAAACCTAAAAAGAATAAAAAAAAATTATTGTAGTTCAACTTGACCAACATATCTGAATTCACTCTTGCTTAAAGATAATTATTTGGTGTGTTTGTATGTTTTCCATTGCCTGTTTCATTTGTGCTAATAACCACATAAGCACCTTCAACTGCCTTGTTTGAACATTTTTAGAGCTCAATTATTTTTTGTGCTTCTGCTGTTGTTGTTGAGATTTCAGTAAAAACCATTCATACAGGTTTTCAGGGGAATCAGACTTATTTAAAACATTACCAGATAAAAGGTGACCTGACAGGTCTACATAGGAGCAAAAGCCTTAGAGTTTGATAATAAATTTTACATATGATTTAGGTTAAAAAACAAACAATTGTAATGTATTTTTTTATTTTTAAACACAAATAGTTTTTAAAAACATTAAAAACTATACAAGATTTCATTGAACAAAGTAATAGTAATTCAACAAAGGTTGTTGCATTGCCTGATTGTTACATTCAATTTAGTTGTTTAGACTACCAGAAATCACATAAAAAAGCTATATTTATGTGTATGAGTAGGATAGTTTCAACAATTGTACTAGTGATTTCTACTGTTTTTTTTTAAAGGAGTAGTTAATGCTTAATTTTTTTCTTCATAATCTCATATTTTCCTTTTAATTTCTTATATCTTTTTGTACTATTGTACTGTTTTTTGTGTAACCAACTTAGCAGGTTTCTACTGGAAACAATTGATTTTAAATAAAGAGCAGGCTTAAGAAAATGTAAGGGAATTAAATATACCCAATGTATATTATCCAATCATAGTGATGTGAAATTGGAAATCAATGTGAAAAACCACACAAAACTCCATAAAGCCATGAAAAATAAATGACTCCTTCATGAATAATGAATGAACCACTGATTAAATTAAAGAATGAAGGAGGCAGTTTTCACAATTAAACAATAATGCCAGTCGACGTAGCAGAACTTCATGGACAGAATGTAAGTGGTCGTAAGAGGATAATTTTAGTGTTAATACTCCCTAAGAAAAACAGATTGAGCTCAAAAAAAGAAACTAATGTTCAATAGAAAACTTCTGGAAAAAGAAGCGAACATCAAAGGATGTAGCAAAATATTTTGGTCATCTGCATAATGGTTAGGACAAGACCATTTAATTTATCTAAAGCCACTCTCAACACCAGAATTGGACCAGTTTCCTTTTCTCTCTTCCTTAATTCCACATAAATCCTACACTTGGAAACTCAGAATGTTCATTAATCTATGAAAGAAAGATATGAGGCTTCTCCTTCCAACACTGTGTAGCCTAGTTCAGAGAAATTAGCAATGAACTAAGAAAAAGACTACTTCCAAAACACACAATTTATTTACTTCTTATGAAAAAGTGTGTGTTTCTTAGCCAAAAAAAGCAGAGATTATATGTAGAGGCATCTTGGTTCATTACCAGAAAGGGGCTGATAGTTGGAAAACACACAGAAATTATATCAGAAATGCACATCAGCCACCAATTTACCTCAGGAAAAAGAGCAATACAAATCATAAAGATGGAGGACATGCTGTAAAATGATAAGAAAGTGCCCACTAGAAGAACGATGCTTTTGGTGGCTCTGGACTCAGCAGATCCAGAGAAAACATTTGTCTTGTGAATGTGTCGAACCCGCTGCTTGTGTCGGTACAGAGTAAAAGTCATGGAGCCACTTGAGAAGACCATGAGCACAGAAAAAGTAGTTTCAGGGAATGTTACTAGTGCCAAATAGACTGAGCCTAGGATGGTCCCTTGATCTACAAGAGAACAGTATCCCATCTCTCTTTTCTTTGTGATGTTCCTGCTATGCAAGTTTCCTGACACGTACAACAGATGAAGAGGAAAAATGGAATTTACCGCCATGTGTTGAAACCAGAAGAAGCAAATGCATAAGCCAATATACTTTGGAGCTTTGATTTTAAGATCTTTCCAGCAGGAGTTCATGGGGCTGATCAGGATACTTTGAAAGACACTCAAGAGGCAGATGGTACAAATTGATACACCCCTGCCCACTCTCTCAACGTACAAGATAAGTTTGCAGACAAAATCATTGAACGAATGTTTCCATCCAAAAGCTACCATTGTCTGAGGAAGTCCTTTAGTAAGAAGAAGCAAGGAGTTGGCTATAAACATGTGCTTCAGAATCAAATCTATGCATCTCAATTTGCTTTTAGTATGGTAAAGGAAAAGAGAATGGTAAAGAAGAAAAAAGTTGCCCAGGATTCCAACTACAGTCTGTGACAAAAAGATCATTCCTACCGCCAAATGCATTGGTTCTGCTTTTGTGACTTCCCTTAAAGTTTCCTTTAAATTATCATGTTGTTGATTTTCTTAGCAAGGAGTATTGTAGAGATTTAACACAAAAATATGTTTGAAGATGAAAGCTTATGGACTCGCAAAATTTTCATGAAGTCAGAGGAGGTGAAGGGACCCCTTAACTATTTCAGGGTAAGTTATCACTATGGATGGGCGGCTTCAACCTTGGACAAAAGTGACAGGTGAGAACATATAAAAAGAAAAAGTTATTTTGCAGCAAAACTTTAGATGCATATTAATCATTATTTTTGGCAGAACCGGAGATTGAACTCAGGCCCTTGCGCTTGCCAGGGAAGCGCTTATTCCACTGAGCCATCTCCCCAGCCCCGATGCATATTAATCATAATAGAGAAGTAAAAGCAATAATGGTTATTAGTCTCATACTATAAATCAATTCTGTATAAATTTTAACTGTAAATTCAATAAATATATGTCTCTATGGATTAAGAAAAAAGAAATTATTGTTCCCATACACGCAAAGCTTATGGACAAAATGACAAATTGTATTAAAATTAAGAATAATTTTCATTAAAACTTGCATAGTTGTATTTACAGAGAAATAACAGGAAAATAGGAAGACAGAAAGGTTCAAGGAGAGATGGATGAGAACATAGAAATTTAATTATCATGATGAACTCTTACACATTACATAAGAGAATTAGACATGAGAAATATTGCAGAGTAAATTCCAAATATAAGAAATTATTCAGTTGATAGTAAATATATTTAAATATTCCATGTTCTTATTAAACAGAAAATTTTGAATAAAACCAGCATCACGTATCATCAAACATCACCCACAGTGCTAAGGTGCAAGTGACAGAATACAGCAAGTTGAAGGGCTGACCAAATAGCTCAGCAGATTAAAGTGCATGCTTAGGTGGATGCAGGGGCTGGGAGTTTGATCCCCAGGCTTGCTGTGCTGAACCCACCCCTGGGGCATGCTGAGAGAGAGATCGAGACTGGGTGGTGTGTGCCTATAATCTTAGCACTTGGGAGGCTGTAAACAGGAGGATCATTACAAATCCGATGAACCCTGTAGACCCTGTCCTAAAATAAAAAAAAAAACAGAAAGAAGAAAACAAAAGAGCAAATTGAAAACATGGGAAAACCAAGAAATTGTCCCTACAAAACAGGTACAAATGTTTTGGGAAACCTTTTTGGTAAGATCTTGTATCATCTGGAAATGTAATTTTAATTTCCTTGTTGCTCTCTTTTTTTTTAGAGTACAGTGGTTTTCATTGTAGGGGCCTTTCAGTTTCTTTGTTAGGTTAATTCCTAGGTCTTTAATTTCAGTAGAAGTTACTGTGAATGGGAACTTTGATTCCTGATGTCTTTCTTAGTAGATTTATTCTTGATATTTAAGAATGCTTTTGCTTTTTGTATATTATTTTGTATCCTATTACTTTTCTACAATTATTTGTTAGTTCTAAGTGTCTTTTGGTGGAATTTTTAGAATCTTCTTGTTACCTGCACATACGGATGATTTGATTTCTTCCTTTCTGTCTCTGCTACTTTTTATTTGTTGGTGGGACAAAATACCCAACACCCAAAATGAAGAAAGGAAACTTTTGTTTAGTTTGAAGTTAATGGAAGTTTCAGTCCATCCTCTTCTGCCTCCAAGGCAGACTTGTACATGGCAGAGGGGAGCAGTACCTGGTGGCAGAAAACAGCAAAAAGCAAAAGGAAGAGATGCAGCCGCAGCTTCTAGCAAGCCTCTCTAACCTCCTTGCAAACTGACTGTGAGGACTGGAGCTCCTCCTGGGAAGTGGCACCCACCGTCCTTCATCCAGACCCTTCACATATCCTTTAAGTGCTGAGTCACTGTAGGAGGGCCCTCCAAGCTCTATGGAGGGACTACCATGGGATAGGGATGGTTTGTAGTGCTACATGATCTCTGTGCTCTCCTCTTGCACAGCATGGGGACGTTTACAAAGCAAGAACTCTGTCTCACTGAGTCAATTAATTAAACTTCTAAACTCAAGTTGACATAATATGCCAACTACTGCTCTTTCCTGTCCCATTTATTTACTTCTGTTGCATGACTGTTCTGGCTAAAATTTCAAGTAGTGTATTAAATGAGTGGTTGAGATTGCACAGCTTTCTCTTATTCCAGATTTCAAAGAAAATGCTTTCAGATTTTTCCAGTTATTATGATGCTGACTGTAGATTTGACATCATATTTTATACTTTGAATAAGATGATTTCATATCTAATGTTCAGCTGGTTCTTTTTTTATCATAAATTGATATTGGATTGGATCAAAGGTTTTTTTTTGTACCTATGAAGAGGTGCATTTGATTTTTATTCTTATTTTTGCTTATGTGATATACTGCATTTATTAATTGATGTATATTGATCCATGTTTCCATCCTTGGTGTGAAGCCAACTTAATCACAAATTATGAACTTCTTAACAATTTGTTGGGTTCTTTTTGCCCAGGTCTCATGAGAGGTTTTTTGCATCTATGTTCACTGAAGAACTTAAAAAAACATCTTTCCTTGGTTTGTGTAACATCATAATTCTAGTTTCCAGAATGAGTTCTTTCAGAATTTCACTGAAGACATTAAGTTCCATCCATGTTAGATTCTCCGTAAAATTCTATATTGAGAACATCTTTTAGGTCACAGGGTTTTATTGCTGCCTCTATTGTATTATGTTATTGGTCTAATCTAGGTTTTACATCTTCTTTGTTCAAATGACCAACTCAGGGATAAAGGACCTATTCACCCTTTGCACTGATTTTTCAGTCTGAATTCCATTTACTTTCATTTATTTCTACTTACTTTCTAGTTCAATCTTTAGAATCTTTTCTTCTGTTAGTTTTTAATTTAAATTTTTCTTATTTGTTTGTTTATTTATTTTTGGCCATCCTTGGGATCCAACTCATGTCCTTGAGTTTGCCAGGCAGGTGCTTATGCTGCGGAGATATTTCCCTGATCCTCAATTTGGATTTTTATTGTTTTTAAGACCTTGGAATGTATAATTTTGTGTATGTATTTATTTTTATTAATTTTATTGAGAAACAAATAGCAATGAAACAGTTTTAAAACTGATTAATAGGACAGATTCAATAATTAATACATTGCATATTGTCTTCATATTGGTTATTCATAGTACAAGATGCAGACATGATGTCCCGTCCAAATACTATTAGTAAATATCTTTCTTCTCATTGAGTTAAGAGAAAGTAACTGTACATCTATACTATTTTGTATTTGCAGATACAAAATGGCCCTTCCTTTGTATCCCCTTTTTGTTTAGTTTTGTTAGAGATGGGTATTCCATTGCCATTTAAATACTGTAGGTGCATGAATTCAGCAAAATAATCCAATACAGTCCAGTAGTCCATAACAGAAGTGGGTTATCCACAGGACTGGCAATGTCAGAAGTTGTTGACTTGAGCCTTTCACAGCTCAGCATATTGATATGGCTTTCCTTTTTATACCTCGTTTTTGTACTTTTCTGCTGGATGGTTAAGACCAAGATACAGCAAGACTTATATAACAAGAAATGTAATGTATAATTAGGTAATTTATTTTTCCAGTGCTTATTGAATGACATATTCTTAAATTTCAGTTATATAATATCTGTGGTTTGCTTTCATGCTGAAATCCAGTTTCATTTTTGCATACTTTTGCAGCATTCAATAAATTATTTCAAGGTTTGTATTTTTTATGCATTCTATATTGCCTAGGTTACAGTGTATTTTGAACAATTTGTCATTCAAAAAAATGTATATTTTATTATTAGATGAAACACTGTTAACTCCCCCTGTTCGATGATGTTTTTTGACTCCTAATTCCTTTTTAGTACGTTTTAATTTGTGAGTGACCTGTCTACTTGTAAGAAAGGGATACTGAAGACTCACTATGTCTCTATTCATTGTTATTTATTTTTCTGTGTTGAGAAGTTTTTATTTTGTGAAGTTGTGCCAGAAGTGTGTGCATGTGTTTTTATAATTGCTATTTCTTCCTGTTAAGTTGTCTTAGTTACTAGTATAGAATGGGTACCTTTGTTTCTTCTGATCAGTTTTTACTAAATATGCATCTCAGTACAAGAAGTTTACTCTGCCTTTTTTAAGAATCTGATTGCACTTGTTGTTCTCCATCCTTTAATTTTACTCCATACAATTTTCGTATGAGATTTGTCTGTTTTAGACCATATGTGGCTGTGATCTTTACAATAAATATTCTATTCTGTATCTTTTCTTTTGTAATGGAAGATCACTGATATTGAGTTATTATTGTAAGCTATTTACCGAATCCATTCATTACATTTTATTTTTTCAGTATTGACTTTTTGTTTAACTATTGACAATGATAAATGTATATTTTGTTTGTGTTATTTGGCAATGTCAGTCTCTGCCATTCTGTTTATATTTCCCTTAAATATATTTGCAATGCCGGCTCAGCGTTCATGTAGTTCTATAAAATTTCTGGGTCATGAACACTCCTCACTTCTTTATCATGTTGAAGGTTAATTTTTCAGGATATAGAGGTACAATCATTTTATATTTTTAGAGAAAATTGCTCCGAGCTTATGTAGGTTTTGAAGTTCATTCTGAGAAATATACATAACTCTAATAAGTTGAATTTATATGTCTCTTTTGCTTTTCTCCAAAACCTTTTATACCATCATTATTGAATTTTTGAAGCTTAATTGTTATTGTGCAAGAAGAGAGCCTTGCCTGGTTGTGCGTATTTGGACTTTCAGATGCCTTTGTGCTTCAATATTGAACTATTTCTCAAATGTTTGGAAACTTATGCTATGATTTCAGTAAATAAATTTTTATAACTCATAAGTCATTTCCAAAATTTTGAGCTAGCTCTCTCTCTCTCTCTCTCTCTCTCTCTCTTTCTATCTCACTGAGGATCTATTGAATACACACTCAAGATGTGATGTCTTCATTGGGGCATTACGGAGTATACAATTTATATCGTAATTTTAAAAAG